TGGTAATTTGGTGGAGGGGAACCAGTTTTTTTAATCACCTCAAATTTAGATGTTTGCAAATGCGGGAGTCTTAAGAATGAAATGAAAAACAATTTAGGCATTTAAATGTGTAATGATGACCAGTGAAGGTTTCTAAATATTTCACTGAGCTCCCCAGTTGAGTTTTATTACAAAACAACATGAAGAAATTGAATAATCTTTAAAAATCTGCTTAGTTTGGGACCATAAAAAGTATACATATTAAATACCTCCTTTGTTATTTAGTCTTAATATTGACTTGTGTATGTGACCATAAAATCTAAATGTATTAAAAATCTTTAAAATCTTGCTTTCAAAGCTTAGGTAGGTAATTTGGTAATTTCAAAGGGCAGAAAGGTAGTTTGAGAACTTCAGATGTATTTCAAAATGAAATGACTGTCACAGTGTCGTGTCTGACATAATTAAATTGTTTCTTGCAAATCTTTCTCATATTTTCTTCTTCCAACTCCCTCTGCAGATATAAACTTCTGAGGTATTCCAGAGAACGTCAGTATATTGATGGATTGAACAATTTAGTATATACTCCTAAAATACTTGTCAGTAGGTTGTATAAAAATATAACTGTTAATCTCATACCAGAACTTGCTCCTGTTAGAGACTATTGATGGAAGTGGAATGACAAGCTACCTTACCAGAATAAACTTTTAACACTGGAAGCTACTAATAGACACTGTAAACCAAACCAAAACAAAACCAACAAACAGCAGTTTAGAATTAGAGTTCTTTGACCATTTGATAATGCATATTTGAGATGAGAAATTATTGTATGTACCATGCATTTTGTTCTGAAAGAAAAGCCAGCAGCTACCACTCAGATGTTTACAGCATGAGACTACTGTTCAAGCCTTCACTCTTCATATTCTCTATCTTAACCATTCAACTAAATAGACTGTAGGAAACAGACTTGTAGCTTCTCTGGAAGTAAGGACAGAAGCCTCTTCCAGGAATTTTTTTATACTAAACTGCCACCCCCCTCGTATTTAAATGAATGCTCTTGTTTCTTTTTAAATGTGTTTTGTAAATATGTGATGTAAATGAATGTGTGTACATTGCTTTTCAATTGTTCAATATTTTATGCTTCAGTATGTATTTGAGTGTGTTCTTGTTTGAATTCTATAGGAATGTTTTTATTAGCATGAAAGAACAAGTGTAAAATGTAAGTATGCTTGTAAAAAGGTTATACCTTATGTAAAATGAAGGAAATATTAATTGTTGGCCAGCTATGACTGTAAACTGTTATACTAGTTTTGAGCTCTAGGCCTCCTGCATATCTATATAGAAAAATCAATTTCATATATGAACTTGCTAGGAAAAAAGCTTTTAATTTTATTTATTGCCAACAAAATTGTACGATACCCTGCCTGCCATCTAAAGTCTATTTATATGCATATTGCATGTGTATTACAGAAGATCTTGCGCTTGTTGCATATTATGATCTAAGGAACTCTAACTGTTTCCAAGTGTGCCACTTGTGTCAATGTCAGGGATTTTAATGCCTAAAACAATGTGTCTGAATGCGTACAGTATTTTGGTATTGTTCTTTTTCAAAAAAAAAGAATCCTAGTAAACAGCACTTTTATTCCTCCAAAATCAGAAGAACCAAAAATGTGTCTTCATTGGAAGAATATCAAAGTTAGATTTTTAAGAGAATAATAAAACATAGTTCTAATAGTTCTAATGCTTGCAGTGTGGGATTTTCAGAACCACGGTGTTGGTCACACTGTTCTGCTGATGGGGACGATGATGCCGAAAGCGGAACTGAAAGCAGGCCAATCCCAAGTGCTTTTTAAAATTCCACTCATAATACATTATTCAATATAGCTATTTGAGGGCCTATTCTGGCAGGGTGCTTCGTGCTTCTGTGATGCACTAAGTATCCTCGAGTCGATGACTGTCAATGAGATTGAGGTTGTGCAGTCCTGCTAAGGATTGGTCCTGTCTGTTTCTCTATTTTTGTGGTGTTATATGTATGAGTAACTATGAGCCTCTCTCCTCAACTTAAAATGAAAAATGTATCTTCTTATTTTCTCTTTGCTTGTATTGTTATGCTACAGAAAATTTTTCCACTGCTAAGCATTATTATCTTTTCCTAATATTTTTTTACATCCCTTATTGATACTAAGGGAAAGGACCAGGTGATTTATTTTCTATGTTAATGCAAAGATATTGACCAAGATCTACTAAAGTGTTTTGTTTGTCAAGGTTACTCAACTCCTTAGGAACCAAAGACTGACTTCTGCTCCCATGAAGAATGGGAAACAGTATATATAATAAGGATTGTTTATCCATAGAGTGTTCTTCAAGAGTGTTGACAAAGAATACTAACTTTAAGTCATTACTATGTGTTGGTTTCCTGAATTGCTGCCACAGATGGTGTGGTGCTTTGTATATTTTAAGTTTGCCTTAAACATCTTTTATTACTTTGACATCACAGCAGCAAATTCTGCCCTTAGCCATTCTTCAGTGAAGTTATGAGCTTAGTTGTAGACGTCCCGAATATTTAGTAGAAATACAATTATTTAATTTAAGTAGTTGAGAACAATCGTAAGGGATATTTTATACCATATTGGAATTACCTTAAAATCTGCCAGTTAATCTAATATGCTTTAGGAATGAGGTAATACAGTGAAAATATCTAAAAGCATAAAGTGAAGAAAACATCCTTCAAAAGCATGCTGAAGTGGTTCAATCACCTCCTAATAGATTTTTCTATAACTGATTATATAGAACATTTTGAAGCATATGGAGAAAGGGGAGATAATACAGTGTATGAACAATTATATCTTCAAAATAAAATTAGTCATTTCATAGCAGACTAATACTATTCTTTAAGAACAGTCGAATAAATTTTTAAATCCTTGATGTAATTTTGATGTGATTTCTGGTTTTCAGTACAATTTCACCTTCAGTTTCACACCTATGATTATGAAGCATCTTTTGGTACCATAGGTCTGTACTGTTTTCTGAAGCATGCTTTTGTGCCCATTTGTTAGGCATTCTGTGAAATTTATGTGCAATTTTAAAAAAAATCTAATTCATATATATGTATATATACTTACATATATACATACTATATTACACATTTGCTGTGGCTGAACTAATGTAACTTTACAGCTTTAAGTGATTGATCATGTATGGTCCTAGAAAAATGTGATTTAAACCAGTACGTGAATGAATTGTGACATATAGCTGAGTTCTTAAAACGTTTACATTTTGGTGCCCAAAGTGATGGATGTTAAATTATGAATTGCTGACCAACACTATTCCCTAAGTACCTTTTATCATTTTGTTGGGAAGTTTTAAAAGTTGCCATCTTAAATTACATCACAATAGTGTTTGTATACTACCTGCTTGAACTCAGTACTATTCTGTAGTGAATTTTAACATAGACAGTGCCTTCAAACAAAATAAATATGATGCAGAACTAAGAGTTGTGCACATTCCTTTTGATATTTTCATGATTCTTGTAAAATGTAGAAAGAAGCCAATCACATTGGCTTTTGCATTGCTGACAGTGCAAATTAAGGACATCTCTTCAAGGAGGGAACGTGGAGGGAGAGGAAAAAGGGTGTCTTTTACAAGATTCTAAAGGTCTTGCAAACTAACAAGTAAAACCATTAGAGAAGTATTAAGATTGGAATCTGGTTGATATGCTAAGATACTCTTAAGCCCATTTTCTATATTTTAAATTTAAGTCAGAGCTTATAAAACATAAAGTCCATTTTGCAATAGACAGTATATTGAAAAGCAAGTGCAAAATGCCCTTTTTTGGATCTTGACAGTCTATTTTTCTATTGTTATGTTTACTGATGACTGTGTTGTAGTGGGTCACTAATGAGCCAGTTCTTCAAAAAAACTGAAAGGATCCATTGCATATCAGCAAGAGGAAGTGTACCTGAGATTATTTTATTTGTAAAGGTATATAAGATAGGCTTAATGAGAAATGCACTGAAACAAATGCTGGGAATTTCCTGTGTACTATCATAGCTTTTTTTTTTTTATTTTTGTTGTTCATGAAAATGTTTGTACTTTTTTATCATTGTCTTTTATGAAATATAATGTTCTAAAGATTGTGTTGGTTTGTTTATTCTGAGGTTCTGTGGAAAACATATCATCTTTGTGTTTTGTTTCTAGACAAAGTGCTCATTTTTCTAGTGCTCAGAACCCTAAAGTAACAGAAAAAGGAAGGATTACACCTGTCTAATATATCAGGTTGGGCTGGGACAGGATGAAGTTCTAGACTAGCAAAGTGTTTTCCCTTTTTTTGGTATTTATATGCTTTCAGCTTTTGATTTTGTTAGGCTAAATGACTCAATATCTTTGCATACTTTCCCAAGACAGAGTTGCTATTCTGTTGAATATCGTAATGTTTCTTCCTTATATATGGATTACTAGAATGGGAATAGAAGGATTCATCCATATTTCTCCTGACATTAAATAGGAAATTGGTTTTCTCAGGAATCATCAGTTATCCTTATTTTTATTTGTACCTTACAGCTATTAAAGTGTCAGATGGTTAGAGGTATGCAAGTAATTTTGGGGGGTACTTCAGCTGGAGACAAATTATTTTTCAGAATTTTCTGGAAGTAAATGAATAAACTTCTTCAGGTATGTTTGATCGATATGCTTTTCTGAAACACTGGCTATGGACTCTCCTTGGAAGTGTCACCAGGTATGATATACTGGAAAACAGGAAAGAAGGCCTTTTAAGTATGTGTAGCATAGTTTAAATCCTTAAACGCTGTTCCACCTTGCTGTTACTTTTAAGCTGCTTTTGCTTCTATATCTCAAAAATCAGAATTGAGAGGTGACTTTATCTGATAATTATGTGGGGCCCTGAGTAAGTAATCCCGTGTGACTTCATCTGTTGTGGGCTTCAGTGACAAAGTATAGGAGATGGTAGTTGTGGATTGTATTTGCTTACTTTTCATGAGACACCTTTCAGATGTGTTTTATTCACCTCCTTTGCAAAAAGAAATGTAGTTTATTAACTTCATGCAAGACTTTGGTTTATTCTCAGAGTTTCAGTAATGGAATTTCAATACATTTTTTCCTGAGCTTATTTTGTTTTTCAAACCCTAAACTTTTGTTCTGAAGGGCAATACTGACAGAATACAGAAATACAGTGATTTACTGTGAAATCTTATAGCTGTTGATACAATCAGATACTAAGTTCTTATCATTTATGGAAGTTTTAATTCTCACATCTCCATTTTCATGCTTAATATCAGCTTCTATTCCACTGGCTCACTAACTACTGCTGTAGTTGAGGAAGAAAAGGGACTAAGGACAAAAACAACGGAGTAATGTCGATAACCAGCATCATTAGCTGTGAACACCACCTGGAAAAAGAAAAAGCAAATATAAGACAAATGAGAAGTGATCTCTAGATACAAGCCTAAATGGAACCATTGTGACCGTTTTATGTAACTTCACACAACACTTCAGAAATATTCTCACTCTGAACTGTGACTCTTGTAACATAGAGTTTTTCCACCGGTTAAATATTCTTTATTAAAAGTGTGAATATCACATTATTTAAAATGTAAAATATATTTATTATCCAAATTGTCTTTATTTAAAAAAAAAACAAAAACGAAAATGGAATGCCCATTCTTTCAAGTGTTTGAATATTTGTGTTGCTCTTATGAAGTCTGAACTTCGAGGAACAGAAATAAACACTGTGACAGTAATTATTGTTAGGCCAAAGTATGAAACAATGAGTTTCTTTAGTTCTACTTCCAAATGTACTAGTTAGAGAAGGACTGCATTAGTTCTTTGGCCACAGTATGAGAATAACCTTACATATGAATGATTTACCACAGCCCCATTAACATCTCCCCGATCAGCACGTCCTGTTCTTTGATTTTTCACTCTACATAGTACATTATTTTGTGTTGTGAGATGAGAGGTGTCAACTTTTAAAATAGACACAGTTTGATACAGTCTGTGTATCAATTTGTGCTCCCTTCAACATTAGTAGAAAAGATGCATATGAAAAGAACAGTGAACTGAGCAAAACATGATCCCTACTGAGGCTTATTTTTAAGAAAGAAGACTCTTGTAATCTAGATTAAATTAATTTCTAATCTCAAATGTAGACTTAAACATCATCTTGATATATAATCAGTTTATTTGCATGCTGTAAATCTTTTATCTTCCCTCTTTTAGTTCAGTTATCACAGTAGGCAAGGCTATCCAGCATTAACCTTCATTATTGTCAGGTGTAAGAATTTAATCTTTTATCTGTTTCAGGGAGGCAGAAACCAAACCCAGATGTTTTTCAGCATTTCTCCAAGGAGATGAGGAATGACTGAGCAGATCTGTCACAGTCCGCCAAACAACTAATTTAGAACTGCTACTGCTACTCCTGAAAGGTCATAGGAAAGCCCTGGTGCTGTGGAGGGGAAGGGGACAGTCCCCAAGGAGTCCCAAATCCTGCAGCAGACCTCCCTTGGTACCTAGTTTGGACCACCTTCCTCTAACCAATTTATTTGTCCCACGCAAATCAAAAAGGCATGTTATACTTTTTCTTTCTGTTGTAAACTGAGGATCCAAGCATCCAGAACACAGTATATACTTCCATTATCTTTAAAAATCTAAATTAGAAACTTTTTCTGTAGCCGTACAAATACTGGGTCCAAAAGGCAGACAAATTCTTTTCCCAGGAGCCTTAACAGAGCACTCTACCTGTTCTCTCTCAAGTGTTTAGAGTAGTCACAAAAAGAATCTCAGGCATAAGCAGAGGTAGAACGATGGAAATCCTCTTCATAAGTAATGCATCTAAGAGCTTATTTGAGTAACTAGGCTCTGTCATGAGTACGTTGTTACAAAGCTTTGAGACTGTGGATTTGAAGTGTCAACATGAAAATACTTTATAATCAATGTGTGCGCTTAGTAACTAAAGCATAGACATATTAAGTAGCTTTATTCTTTGCAACTGAAGTACAGGAGAAAATGAATACTCACATCAACATGGTGGTGGAAGGCATTCAAACCCATATTCTTCCAGTAAGAGGTCGTGTCTAACTCAACCTTGTATATTCCTGCTCCGAATTGTTCTTTAGTTGTAAGCTCAGGGAGACCTCCCTTGTCATTGGTTTGTCTGTGTGGTGGTAGAAGAACACACTTTTATATTTTGGTCAAAACCCGAGAAAGATGCAGTTTTTAGCAATTGAACTTGAGCGATGCCTAGCTTAAGTAATATGATGAATACTTCTATTGATCTGGAATGGCTTACGTCCATCTGTATTATGGATGCTTCAGAGCTTATCTTGGCATTTGCTACTTCCACAATGACCACAGCAGATGGCTGCCTGCCATGTCACTACTCTGCATGGTTTGGGAGTGAGCCAAAAACTGGCATTGTTCACACTCTTGGCAGAGTCTTGGAGTTAATTAAATGAACCTGCTCAGAGGGAAAACACTGCTGTAAGCAATGTGGAAGCTCTGTGATGCACTTACTGTACAACCAAGTAGGGTCAACTCTCCTGATTTTTCCATAGTTTTCTTTCTTATTTAAATATATTGAGTTGTTTTATCAGTATAAATATTTTTTGCAGTTGGCTATTAGAAATTTGAGACCTGCTGTTTGAAATGAATGACCTTAGGTCAGCTAACAGTGTAGCCTTATGGAATTCCCTACAGTTTGTATTGTCCAGTTAGTTTTCCATGCTCAACAAACAGATGGGTTTGTTTGGTTTGCAGATACTATCAGTGCTATCCAAAGCCCTACTACTGGCTTGAAGCTGTACGTTTTTGAACCCATTTAGGGTTCCAGAAGCAATATTGCAATTATGCTGTCTCTCAATCATGTCTCTTTGTTTGAAACCTATTTCTGTGAAATAAATTTTATAATACTAGTTTTTTATTAGATAGGTTATCTGCAAATATCAGAGCTGCCAGCATCTGACTTTAGTAGCTACTACCACTGTTTTGTGTTATAGCTGCCAGATCTTTTTCTGAACATATTTGATTCAAATTGCATGCAGAGGGAAAAAATAAGTCATTGTCCATAGCATTACTTAGGATTTGTTCTTTAATGTAGCTTATAATTACAAAGTGATAGAACACCATTTGTATTTTACAAGATGCTCTGTAGTCAGTTATCAGAATGTTTTTATCCATTCAGTTGTCACTATTTTTCTTTGTCAAAGATGGATCATTGCTAGATAACCGGTCACTTCTCTAATAAGCTTTCTCAGATAATACCAAATATGTCTTTAATTGTGAACATTTATTTCAGAACCTCTTGCTAGCATTCAATTATTTACCAATTATTAAGGCTGGAGGGGTTGATTTAGTATTAGCATGACTGTTGCTTAGCTTATCTTGACATTACTTTGCTCTTTGTTTCAGATATTAAGGCTTCAGTCAACATCCAGCTGTTTAGATGAGTGTCTTCCTATAAAGTCTCTAAGCTCAAATTTGAAGATAAGTAAACTGAACACTCTCTTACTGGAAAATATCAGGCACTTCCAGTGACAGAATATGTGTGAAGTTGTCTTCTCACTTGAGGGGTGTGGGGCAATTTAAGTAGGACAACGTAAATAGATTGCTTTCCCCGCCTTGTACAATTAATTATGTGTGACCTTCACTGTAGCTATATTTTTCAAGGACGCATATAGGAGCAGTGTTGCGTCTGCCAGCCCACTGCTCCATGACACCAAAGAACCACTTATGTACAGTTTCTTATGGAATTTCTAGAAATGCATCTGAGTCTGGGATCCCACTTTTGAAATTCCTGTGCAATGCCAGCTTTAGCCCTTTAGGAACCCTTTCTCACTTTTTTTCCCCTGTGAAATAGACTGTTAACATACCTGGAAAGGTCTCTGTTGAGACTTTGCAACTATCTTGATGAAGTAAGTGTGGAAGTGGAATATTGCTTGTTGAATAAAGAATGTTCATTCTGTGTATCCCCTAAGAATTTTTCCAATTTCATTTCAGATTATACTTGAAATGAAAATAGCTTTTGAGTTTTTAAAGTGTTAATATATACACTTGAAATTCTACAATTAAATTCTTTTAAAGACATGGCAATATTTAAATATCTGGAGATTCTTTTTGTTATTTGAGATGTGATTGCTTCTTTGTGGGGGAGGAGGTGAGAAAGCTTTATCCCCAAATGTTCTCCTTTTGTCCGAGTCCTTTGTCTTGAAGTCAAGAAGGCTATCAAATATGATGTGGGAAATGTTCAAAACAGTTCCTTTTTAAAGCTGTGATGTTGTAAGAAGTGTGAATCCATTTAGAAAGAAGGAAAACAGACAGTAAAGGCAGGATTTCCAACCAGAGTCTTGGTTTCAAACTATAAGTAATATAAACCTTTGTAATGAAATGGAAGAAGAAGCAATGATAGAATTAAAGGGTAGTTTACTTCCTTGTGCTCATAGGAATTATAAAGTATTATAAACCCATTTTGGTAGTTGAAGCTGTAGTACATTTAAAAGGCAGTCTGCAGCAAGCTAATTTGATAGTACATAATCTTTCCTCTGAGCAAAAAAGACATCTCACGTTAAGAGAATGTGGAACTGGTCTTTCAACTATTTTGCGTCTTCCCACTGCCTTTCCCGTCTTTCACTCATTATTTTAGTATGACTTACTTTGAATTTAACAGTTCCCAAGATCCATCTGCAGCTTCTTTATATAACTTAACTGGAACATTTGGAGCTGGAGTTCCTCGGAGTGAATCCAGAACTCTTACGTAAAGAGGATGCTTGTAGTCAGGAGAGTCCTTCAATAGGAAGAGAGAATTTTTATGTTGCAAGAAGGGTATGCGATGGTGCATCGTAAAGCAGTAATGAGTATTATTCTTCAGATCTACAGCAGAGACCATATTTTTAACAACAAGATCACTGTATACTGCAGAAACATAACCTGAATCTTTCTGGGGACTGGATACGGTGGAGCCGGGGAGGAAGATGTCAGGAACCGTTGTGCGTGTAGCCATGTACACTAGGGAGGCACTGCTGCTGTGAGATACATTTCTGTTTTCTCTTTGGCTTCTCTAGCATGAAGTTGTAACTAAACTGTGGCCTCAACAGGAAATAAACCATCAAAGGTAGTAGGACTGTTTAAAAATCTGTCAAGTCTTCCTCTGTATTTTGAAGTGGGAATTTGAGCACAGCTTTCTGCAGTTGAGATACCTCTTGTTGCCATTTTCTTAATTCTGCTGTAAACTTGATAAGCACCACATACAGACTCTTCCCTAACAGCATGTTGAATCAGATTTGTCAGCCCTGGCACCTATACAGGGATAGGAGAGGAAAACCTTCCTTCGAAGATTACATGTTTCACTCCCAACATGTTCATCACAAGTAGTGATTATGCCCTGATGTTTTAGCTATTCAAAGACAGAGTTGAATCAGGGCTTTGACTTTCCATTACCTGATTCTACAGCTGAAAAGTGAGAAAATAGAGCTTTGTAGAAGGTGCTAATCAGGGATGGTCTCAAAATAGCAGTCACTGATATCCATGTAATCGTTGCAAAATGAATCGTGATGTAGATTGTTAAAAACTAAGAGCCCTCTCTTTCACCCCGTCTTATGGTCTGGGATGTACTGAACATCCCATTGACCTGTATCCCTGCCTTGTATCCCACCAGTGTATCAGCATGTATCTATAGTGCCTGTATACCTAGACTCCTCACACTCCCTTTCTGGAATGCAGGGACTCACTAGTGTTTCTTGTGAGACCTTGGCAAGGAGGGCTGCACTGCTACCACTGATTTTCCTGGCTTTTACGCCCTGGGAGCTCAATGAAAGTCTTAATTCCTCAACAAGCTTGGTCAGGTATTAATTTTCCCAAAGATCAGAACTTGAGAGGAAACCTGAGTAGTTGACAAGAGAGAGACGAGGCTGCTGTAGGAGAATTTCAGACTGAGGCATCTGTGTTGCTAGCTTAATTTGCTGGAATAAATGAGCCCTCTGGAAGAAGATCCTGACTTTGGCTCTGTTCTTTCCTTGCCTCAATGAGTCTTGAGATCCCTTTTTGCTTACATCAGGTTGAGCTGTATTGGATAGAGCAGTAAGGCAGAAGTCTAGAGAAGGCCTTTCTGCAGCAACGGTCTCGCAACTGGAAATGACATCCCTCATGACACAGCTTGCTCATCATGTTATGAAGGCTATTAGTTACTTTTCAACAGGCTTGAGGTTTTTTGTGTAGTGAATATGATAGTTTTTCCCTTTTTTGTTTTTCATTGGGTTTTGTATAGTTGCTATGTCTAATGACAAGTGCTACTTCTGTAACCATAAAGTCCTCTCGCTAGTCACTAGAGGAGAAAGGAGAACCAGAAAAGAGCAGCAGCAGAGAACTACAGCCAGCATATACTATGAAATCAAAATAATTGCAATAAAATAGAATATTCTATTTTTTTGCCTGTACTAATTAAAGTAAAATGAAAAAGCTGGGTCTACATCATTAGAAGGACTTAAATCCTGAGACACTTACCGCTGGTGAAGCTTCGGAGCAGCAAAATGTCAGGCCAGCTAAGAAAACAAGAAATACAGAAGAAAAAGCCATTTTGCCTACCACTAGGAAGTCTCAGGGCCAGGAGGCAGAAACTGATGGGATCTCTGATTTTTATATCAAAGCTTCTAAAATGAAGTTACTTATCAGAAAACCCATATGACTTGTAACATGCAGATTCATATTGTTTACTTAGTAAACAATGAGAAAATAAGTAACCCATACAAACATGAACCTTGTCTGCAAACATAAGTCTGTTTTATCCTTGGTTGTGGAAATACTGTGAATATTGCCTAGTTCAACTACAGTGATCAATGTTTTTGGAAACAGTGTCTATTCTGGTATATTTTTCTCTTTTTTATTGAGGAATAGTGCTGTATTGATCTCATATAGTTGAGGGAAATACAAATTTTGTGTCAACTTAACAATTTCACAGAATCACAGAATATGGTGGGATGGGACCAGTTGGATAGGACCAAGAAGAATCATTAAGTCCAACCCTTAGACCTGCACAAGACCATCCCCAAAAGTCACACCATGTGCCTGAGAGTATCATCCAGACACTTCTGGAACTCTAGTAGGCTTGGTGCTGTGACCACTTCCCAGGGGAACCTGTTCCAATACACAACCACCCTCTCGGTGAAGAACCTTCTTCTAATATCCAACCTAAACCTCCCCTGACACAACTTCAGGCCATTCCCTTGGGTCCTGTCACTGGTCACCACAGAGAAGAGATCAGTGCCTTTCCCTTCTCTTCCCCTCATGAGGAAGTCGTAGAGTACGATGAGGTCTCCCATCAGTCTCCTCTTCTCCAGGCTGAACAGACCAAGTGACCTGAGCTGCTCCTCATATGGCTTCCTCTCAAGGCCCTTCACCATCTTTGTTGCTCTCCTTTGAACACTCTATGATAGCTTAATATCTTTCTTATCTTGTGGTGCCCAAAACTGCACACAATATTCAAGGTGAGGCCGCACCAGTGCAGAGCAAAGTGGGACAATCCCCTCCCTCAGCTGGCCGGCGATGCTTTACCTGATGACCCCCAGGACAGAGTTGGCCCTCCTGGCTGCCAGGGCACTGCTGACTCATATTCAACTTGCCATTGACCAGGACCCCCAGATCACTTTCTGTGGCACTGCTTTCCAGCCTCTCATTGCCTAGTCTGTATGTACATGTGGGGTTGCCCCATCCCAGGTGCAAAATCCAACACTTTCCCTTGTTGAACTTCATATGGTTGCTGATTGCCCAGTCCTCTAAATTGTCAAGGTCTCTCTGCAGGGCCTCCCTGCCTTCAAGGGAGGCAACAGCTCCTCCCAGTTTTGTGTCATCTGCAAACTTGCTTAGTATGCCTTCCAATCCTGTGTCCAAGTAATTTATGGAGAGGCTGAAGAGGACAGGGGCTGAGATGGAGCCCTGCAGAACCCCACTAGTGATGGGTTACCAACCTGATGTTACCCTGTTCACTATTACCCTCTGTTTCAGTGAGAAATTATCTGTTTATGGTTTGTCTTAACTGAGTCTCCCATATTTGCCTATTAAGAGGTTTGTTTCTGTGATGGCCTTCTTCCCACCTCTAATAAAAGGTAAGTGGGTAGTGTCTGGGCTATCTAGTTATCTTATGCATCCCCCATGGAGGAAAAATATTTTGGTTTCCAGCATTATAACTAGATACCTACACAACCATTTCTGAAGCACAGTTAAACTGTTTTAAGTCCTATCACTTTATTTGTCCCTTAGGTCACTAAAAGTTCAGGACTTTCCCTGTACAACTGCAAGTCAGTTCCTCTCAGAAGTATCTGCTTCATTTTAGGGAAATGCTACTTCTTGAAATTAAACTTTGTCTTTCTTTGATCTTTGGTTAGACACATATACGTATACATACACTCTTACTAGGTCTATCCTGTCATCAGATGGATGACTACACACAGTATTTGTTTTATTTTGTTTTGTTTTTTGATGACTACGCCTATATGAATATATTTAGGTCCTATTTTGAGGGCTTGACATAGCCCACTGCAAATCCAGCCTACTGGTTTTCAAGCTCCAGGAACATCAGGATCCTGTGAAATCTCCATGCTTCAAGATGGGTGCTGTTTTGAAACTATTTGTACTGTTTACAAGTGTTATGTAATTATGGTAGTGTCCAGAAATCCAGGGAAAAAGCAACCAAATAATGAAATGTTAAAGGTAAGCTTTTGTAACTTGCAAATTCACTTGGTATGCCAACATCCCAGCAAGCTCTGGATGTAGGGGTAAACTCCAAGGTCAGTGGCTAATGAGTGGTGATCGTGATTTCAGTATCTTTCTCTGTAATTTGTGTAATACATTTAAAACCCAATTCCTCTGCTTCAGGATATTTTAAATACAATAGGCCACGAGTCTACAGAAATCACTGCTAAAGCTCTCAAAGTCTTTGGTCAGTTTATCAGCAACATTATTTGAATTACAGTCACTCTACAGCTTTTTCCTATTTCTGAAAATATGAAGAGAATATTAAAATGATGCTTCTATTTTAGGACTTCTTTTTAATGATGGCTTGAGATTTGACTTGTTAGAGATTTAATTGGAATGCACCAGAGTAGGGTAGCCCACTGGGTTATATCAAATAATCACTTTAATATCAAAGCTGTTAGAAACAGTGCTAATTGAAATTACTTCAGAACTTCCTAGATTGACTGAGCAGCAAACTTTCCTCTTGAAACACGAGAGTGTTGAGGTTTACGTGAAGTTTTAAATAAAGGTACACAGATTTTAACTCTTTCAGTTCTCTGGACATACATATTTGAACAGCTTCTTCATTGTTGTTCTACTGCTCAGAATTCAGTATGCACACCCCTTTTTATCTAGTGACCTAGTTGAGAATGGGACCATCTCTTCCGTGTGTAAACTAGGAGTAGCATGGATGACTTTCTTATTTTGATGACATATATTTGGTAAATTTTTTAAGGTAGCAGAACTCTGTAAACTTCTTATTTTGAGCCAGTGTATTTGATGAGACTTTTTTAAGGCGGTGGAGGAAGGTAACAGAGTTAAATCAAGTGCCATCTGGCATGTATTTTTCAGATGTCCTTTGCATTTCAATGCAAATATAAAATTAATTATGATACCTTAGAACACAATAAAACTGCACCAATAGAGTCAAAACTGTTTTAAAGAAGTAATATTTTATTGACTTGTCTGAAGTTTGCCAGGTTACAAAATGAAAAAAAATACAATCTAATGTAGCAAAACATTATGCATTAGCAGTAGGAAAGCCCTTCCTCCTAAAAGCCTATGATAGTTCTAGTGGAGGAGAGTTTTTGTGTAAGGACAATACATGTTTATTCCTGGGGATCAGTGACAACAGCAGTGGTTGAATAGGAGAAAGGACTGAGGAGAGCGGCAATGGTATAGTGGCGGTGACCGGAATCATTAGCAGTGAAGACCACCTGGAAAAGAGAAAACTTGTGATCAGATGTTCAAAACTACCATATTAAGAATAAAGAAGCACATGCCATTTCATCTGCAGAGTACTTTGCCAGTTCTGTTCAGTGATTTTACCTTTCTGAAGGGTAATGCTCCCCTTTACTTTGTGATGCTTGCTGAGGACTGAGGAATTTGTGAGATTTGAACCGAGGTCCACAGAGCCTTGGCTGCAGTGAAGCTAGGTGGAGATACCTATAGCTGAGCCAGGCAACTACTCTGTGGATGTGGAGAGGGAGAACGAGGGGGAGGTATCTCAAGTGACCAATAAGAAAGACTGGGGTGAAATTCCGCCTGGTGAATTTAAATAGAACCTCTGTGTGAGGAGGCCAAGCAAGGTACAAGTTGGAGCCCAAAGCTGCTTTCTGTACTTCAGTGCCCCCTCCTGTTTTTAGCACTACTGGTGATGGGTTAGTTCTTGCATTGAGAACTGAATGACTGGACTTGCCAGAACAAAGAGAAAACCCTTGCCCTAAGGCAATTCTAATTTGCTGCTCTCCAAATCAGTCCCTCGAGCTTGAGACACCCAGTTGCCAGGAAGATGTCATTACCTGGGTCAAGCTCAAGCTTTCTTTGGCTCTCATTAGCCTATTATTTGATCTATTTTCTAGACCATGATGTACTTTCTACAAGAGGACTAGTGAGTTCTCTCCTACGTCCCAGTCCTGACAAAGGACTAAGCTCCTGGGATGTGAGGACTGTAGGCTTCAGTTACCTTGTACACAGACCCAGAGTTACTGAACTCTACACGCTTCCCAAGCTAGTTTGCTGACCTGTAGGGTATTATGTTAAGGAAAATCTTATTCAACAGCCTGGCTGGAACAGTCTCAACCAGGCACTTTTAAGCACCTTATGAGGCAAAGCAGTTACAACTTTCAGACACCCAAATGGTTAGGGAATATTTTTGAGGTTTGTTTATTTGACCTAAATCACCCAAACTACACCTCAGACTTTTATGGACCTGGGCCTCAGTCCTTTGTTTTAATTTTCCTCAGAGCTTCATAAACTTGTGGTTTAAAATGTTCTACAACACTACCAGTAGCTATTCCAGACTACTTAAATTAGGGAAACTCAAGTTTAATGACAGATTAAGCCGCAAGAATTTAAACAGATTTTTGGAAGTGCTATGTAAATGTAGTAGAATAGAGCACAAAATAAATCAGTGTAGGTCTGAAAGCAAAAGGAGGGACAGGACATGATTATATTGCTGGCCTGCTTATGAAATATGAGTATGATGAAATAACTAACTTTTTCTTTCCCATTATGCTTATTTCTTTATATTTGTATGCCTTCTTTTGTTTTTAATTGCATATTTTAGTACTGAACATCATTAAAAAAATGACACACCAGAAAGAATTGGTTTTTTTCCCCATAATTACAGGTCTGTACCTTTTTTATTTTCTTGTTTGCTTTGATAAATCCTGTCTGCTTTTGAATAATGTAGCTCTTTTTGAACAAAGATCCCTACTGGTATGTCTGGGTGAATGGGCACAGCTCCACTTTGGAAAAGCTGTATCAGTATTTGCAGGGAAGTTGGCTACTTCCTTTGGCTGAGTTTTTACTGCCTTTATTTGTCCAATGTTGTGTGGCAGCAAACCATTTCACTGAATGATGCTGCTCCTTTGGTATTAAAGGACTGTATTTGTTCTTTCCAGCTGATTCTGCTACACAGTCCGT